TAGGGATCATTCCTGCTAATAGCGATCTGCGAATTTAGTGCAAAAACGCGTGATCGCACCGGAGAGCCTGATGCATTCCAGCCTGGGTTCAACTCGGCAACTAAGCAAGCTTCGGCGCATAAATTTTGCCAGTGGATTCCTTTGTCAAGTGCTACGTCAGGGTCGCGACACCAACCTGTCTGAGTTCCGCATACGGGCACGTGAAAGCTTTGGCGAGAAAATTTCTAGCACGGGGACCAGAAAAGCTGAAAGTCTGAAATTTTAAGGGGAATTTTGCCGTCCACATACAGCTTGAAGATTTCAAATTCAGCCCCCAAATGCGCGTGCTTCTCACGTATGAGCAAATGAAAATTTTGGCAAGGAAGTTGCTAATTCGGAGTCCAGAAAAGCGGGTTAACGGAATCCCCTTATTCAAGTATAACTTAAAGATTTCCAGCCCCTAGATATGTGTGGTGCTCACATACGAGCACTTATAAGTTTTGACGGAAAAATTGCTCATTGAATAGCTAGGTCATTTCAAAGAACGACAGTTGGACGAAAATTGTTCATTTTCCTTTATGCAAAGTTTACGGTACCTTACGCTTGTAAGGCAAAAAGTAAATTTAAAGCAAAATCCATTCATACGTGTGATAATTTAATTGCTTTAATGCAAAATCGCATGATCGCGCCGGCAAGCCTGGACCGTTCCAGTCTGGGGAATTCTTTCTTCATTTCATGACTGTTTTGACCAGTGCTACATCGTCTGTTAGTTTGCATTCCGGCAGCGGTAGAACTTTTGGTAAATTTCAAAAGCATATCCAGAATCTCAGTTGATTATCGGTAGGGATGGCTATGGCATGGGCAGATATATCCCCAGCTGTCGTAGTTGATAAAGTCTGCCGTCGAAGTCCAGGAGCCAAAAACTGCCTCACACATTCGTCGAGAAGCGCGTCGAAACTCCAGAGGCCAATAACCGCGTTTCAAGATCGTCGAGAAGTAAACTGTCATCGTCGAAGTTCGAGGGGTCAGCAGCTGTCTCACAAGATCATCGAGTAGAAGAGAATGTCTTCCAAGCTCAAGGGGCCAACTTGCCTCACAAGATCGCGGGGATGAAACCTCTCGACAAGAGTCGGCCTCTCGCTCAACTTGCCTCTCCCCCTCCCCCGCTTGCGTCCCCGATCAATTCCTCCGTATCCCCTCCCCATGGGCTCTGTTTCGCACCATAATTAAAAATCGTGCGCCGATGAGAAGGGGGACCGGCAACCAGAGAACTTGAAGAGGTCTCCTCTTCAGTGGCGATCATGACATGTATTTCCTTTCCTGAAGGGACTACTCGCTCAATGGCTTCCCGACAGAAGCACATTGCAGGGCTTTAGGTACTTGATAATTCATATACTTCATCGCCTCATCTCCCACCTGTAATTCGAGGTATTTTGCCTTCTGGGAGTATTGACATTTCATTCTTGATAAATCAGCAAAACGTTCTGGGTGGTGGAGCGTCGAGCAATGACCTAGATTATTTTCACTGTTTCAAGTTTGTTTTTTAGATCCTCATCAACTCTCTCAGATGTTTCTTGCTGCTACTGAAATTTCCACTGCCAGCTCTGCGGACGAATATGCCGAAGTTCTTGGACCGGCTTTTTATATTTTTGGCTGATTACACAGCATTCACTACTGCTGGTCATGCAGCAGAATATGCTCAAAATTCACTAGAGGTTTCGCAGTTAGTTTTCAAGGTACGCATTAAAATAATATTTCATTAAGCACTGACATTTCAGACTGAAATGATTCAAACTATCGCATGATATCTTTTAAAAATCGCACGCTTCCCTGCATCCCTCTCTCGTATGCAGATCGTTTGTTTTTGATGGAGCTTTCGCTAACTAAATCGTCTCGCCATTACGCTTAAAATGTTTGTGGATTTGTATTAGCTTGTAGGGTCAGGCCTCAGAGCTGCGCTGTCATGTTTATTTGATTTTAATCTGCAAACATTAAATGGTGTTTTTTCTTATAATTTGAAATTTTCAGAAGCAGATTTTTCAGGCATTCACGCAGATAATCAAAGATGCACCGAATTTTTTGCTCACTGCAAAACGCTTACAGTTACTTTTAACTTATGCTGAAACTGATGTCTTTGATAGCCAGAAGCAGGCCGTAGCATTCCCATTAATAAAAGCAATTATTATCCGTAAACTTCAGGATCCAAAGGTATGTCCTGTTGATGAGTATGGATTTATTAATAATGCAGAGAAAACAATTAGCATTATCCATAAAATCGTTCTGGCTATGTACAGCGAGTGCTGGAGATGAATAGCTAAAAATATCCCTTTTAAATGCCTTCTTTGTTTTTCATGCTGTTCAGTTCTGCTAATGATCAACGATTACAAAATTCAGGTCACTGAAATTATTCAATATTTGTCTGAAACAGCAATCACGTCAGAAATTTCGTATGTACGGGAACAGTGTCGCCAGGTAATTTTGAATACTAAATTTTAATAGATTTTAGCAACATTTCTTGTACTAAATTTAAGCTTGTTTGTTTTAACTCTGCTAAATTGTGCTCACTGTCGAAAAGTGCTATTTTAGCATAAGCTTACTTTTTAATTTTCCGAAATATTTGTTTCAGTAATCCAT